ACAACTGAAGTTTTCTGATACGATGATGCCCATCATTTGCAGGTAGAGGTGGAAAGAATGAGGGCCTGTGCACATGAGAAGTTAATGAACCAGCTAGCAGCTGTAAGACACAAGGCTGAAGATAAACGTGCTGCGGCCGAAGTCACAAGGAATCAGCAAGCTTCCAAAACTGCTCAGCAAGCAGAGTACATCAGAAGAACAGGTCGAATTCCTTCTTCATTTTCCTGCTGGAGTTGGTGCTCCTAGTGCACCTCAGTTTGAAGGAACAATCCAAGTTTAGTGTGACAAGAAGAAGTTTTCTCGGCTCGACAATGCTGTAGTCTCAGGTAATTCCCCCTTTTTTTTTTGCTTTTTTTGCCTTCATTGTAAAGTGATATAATTAACATGCCATCTGTTGAATTAAATCATGGCCGCTTTTAACTGAAATCAAATCATCATTCTTTATGGCCTTTCTTATCATGCTTTTATTTAGTGGGAAAGAACTTACACAGTTTTCTCAAAGTCATGTCCATTATATGATCTACCATGCAAGCCTTTGCAGCATTGGTTGAGACTCATATTGTCTATTTCTTCATGCTCAGTCTGGTGTCCCTTGATACATGTTCCATATCTCTTCACAGATATGCCCGTATCTTTATAGAATATGATGTGAATGGAGAATGAGTAGGCAATGACCCCATTAAAGAAACCAAGAGTGGAATGTCTTCTTCATGGATATCATCACAGCAATCTCTTCTGGGTGGTGTTATCGAACTGTCGAAAGTTCTACTGACACGGGGGAAGCAGGTCACATCTTCCTGTCCTCTCTGGTCTGTCATACAGTGGAGGTGCAGTGTCGTCACAACGAAGAGCTTATTTTGTCGTTCAAGCCATTCTCATTCCAACATATATACCTCTGTCATCCAATCTGCAGCTTTTAGACACTTAAAGATAATTGAGAATTAATAAGATGATTAATTCAGGAAGAAGGATTCTGATGTGTTGATACAAAGTAACATAATAACATTCTATTACCAGTCAAATAAAACTGTGTCCTTAGGTTAAATTCCAAGGATACTTCTCACTGTTACTTATGAAGTTAGATTATTATCACTTCAAGTGACCATTTTATTGCCAGTGATTGAGATTTTTTCAAACAAATTTTTTTTTTACGTCTTGTCGTATTTAACTTTATTTTTTATTTTTTTAAATAAATATATTTGAATGAATAAAATCGTGCATGATTTATCCAAAATAGATAATTCTTTTCAACCGATGTCCATGATGATTAATCATATATCTAGACGTATAATAGCTTCGAACATCCTTGGTTGGTTTACAATAATATTTTCTAAATTTATTTTTTACGTTCTCCTTCGTCAAGAGAGATATGATACATGAGATTATATCAAACATGCTTCTTTCTTCGTAAGAACTCTTTTCATACTTGAATTTCTTATCATTAGGAATAAGAATAATTCCGCATTAGCCCCGACAATATGATTATGTGCTTTTCTATTCTGTCTAATGTATTTGTTTCCTTTAGTAAGAATCTTGTCACTGGTGTCTTGCCAGATATTAAGTCCTTGTTTAGATGGGCAAAAGGAATATCCATAACCAGCAAGACACATCTGAAGTGGCATCAGTTGACCTAGGTGTTTGTGTGCACATATTGGCACCAAATCACTGGAGACACCTCCAAACAAGAGAGATTCCAAAGTTCAATCCAAAATGTACACTTGTTCATGGTACTACTCTATTCTGTTCTGTAATTGGTGCAGATTGGCATTCACACTAATTGTATTTGGACTACTCTAAAATTTGAATCAGGGTTGGAAAGGTTTTAATGGTTTTCTGGATAGCTCTACAGGTTTAGGAGAATATAGAACTCGGTTCTGTCAACAGATGGCAGATGGTGTGTTCAACAGATTTCAATCCTGTTTCTGTCTTAAGAGACTAATACACTGAAGCCATGTTTTGATCATTTGTCTTTAGCAAGGAAAGAAGGGAGAGGAGAAGTCTCCACAGCATTGTAGCAATTGGAACTATGAACTCTTCCAAAGTTAGCCACACTATGAACCACAACATTGCGAGTTGGGAAGGAACAAAATGGTCAGATATGCATGAAATGATAGTTTTGAGAGATCAAAGGTCAAGTTGATGACCTTTGAAGTACGGATCCACCAAAACTTAACCCTTCCTACTAAGCTCTTCTCAGCCTTTCCCAAAGAACTATGCATTCAGCCATCAACGGAGATAGAAATCTGGTTGCAAGAACAACAACATCCATGGACTTTTTTAAAATCATGAGTCTCTTATGTCTCCTTTTTGACCAACTTATAAATATTTTTACGAAATATTTGCCTAGTTAGTAAATGTATTTGATGAAAGCACTATCTTATTAGGTTACATTAGGAATGATAATATTAAGAAAGTAAATGTTAAGAAGGAAGAGAAATAATCTTGTCATGATTCTCTTAATTATATGAATTATGTTAAAAAAAAATATAATTATGATTTTCCCAATCACAAATTCCTCCTTCATAACATGATTGAAACATATATTTTATTTTTATTTTTATTGACAAAAATCATCTAATTATCCTATCTTGTAATCTTTCTTTGTTTATATATTCCATACACAATATCAATGAAAATTAAAGATTCTCATTTCTTTCCATGATTATAATTGCTTTACTGTTCATTATAATGATTTTTGAGATGCTTCAGTTATTCATAATAGTAAGTTCGGGAAGACAATAGCAATATATATATATATATATATATATATATATATATATATATATATATATATATATATATATATATATATATATATATTCAAATTCCGTTTAGGAACAAATAAACTTAATCAAGAAAGAAAATATATGGGTACATTTTTATTTTAATTTGTATATTCCAGAAGTACTTCCACTATTCTTGAAAAAAGTTTTAAATATAAATTTTATTAAATTAATTTAAAAGAAAAAAGCTTTCACCTTATATATATATATATATATATATATATATATATATATATATATATATATATATATGGTAATCTTAAAATTAACTAAAATTGGAGTCACCAATGGCATTCCGTTTTTCTTTTCTTTTCTTATATAAATTATAATTCTGAAAATTAAGGGAAAATTATAAATTTCTTACTATCTTCTTTTAATCTTTTTTTCTTAATAACACCAAATATATTTTTGAAAACAAAAAGCACAAACCAAAATGAATTACTTGAAAATGATTTCATGGGTTGACGTCTATAAATGGCGCGCGGTTCGCGTAACAATATAAAACCCCCTCAGCTACGGCTTCTTCTTCTTCTTCTTCTTCTTCTTCTTCCATCTCTTCCTCTCACTCGCTCGTGGTAACGCTGTTCTTGAATCGATACCTGTCCTCCTTCGGCTTCATCTCTTGAGCTCCATCATCAAATCGCGAAGTAGACTGTCACGCGAAGAGAAGATCCATCTCTCCTCGCCTAGTTCCTCATGGGTCGGAGGCCGATGAGTAGGTTCAGGCAAGGCCGTGGGGCAATGTCGTCCCGCGGTGGCCGGATACCGAGCCGCCCACTGGCGACGAATGCGGAGTCCCTCAAACGGAACGTTGATTGCTTCTACTTCATCGCATCCCCGACTACGTGCACGAAGGTGCTTTTCCCATTTTCCTGTTTTCTTGGTTCTTTCTTTAATGTGTGTGTGGGGGGGGGGGGGATTGGTGCTTCAGGGTTTGCATCTTCTTCTCGGATGTTTCTTCTATCGGAATTTGTTTGGTTTCCGCTAAAATCTCTTTTGATTTTTTCTTAATGAATATGCAATTTGTAGGGTTTCTGATATGTGAAAATAAAAGGGGTTCAAGTGGTGGATAGAATTAAACCGGATTTCAAAAATCACTTCACTTTTACCTTTTTTTTTCTTGAATCACATATGTTTGGTAAAAAGAATCAGAACACAATTGACACAAGAGGCAAATGAACTTTCTGTAAAGCAGTTTCGGCCATGCTATGTTCCTCTGGTCTGTTACATTTTGTCTTTTAGATTGAAGAATAGAACTGAAATGTGCTTTATATTCTCAATTATGAACTATTACTATATGCATGCATATGCCATGCTTATAAAAATGTTTGATGTAAATAGTTGTAAATGGGTGTGAAGTTGTAATTAATGATGATGAGATGCATCAACATACACCTCTTGGTAAAAGAAAGCGTAGTTTTTCATTATTTCTGCTTTTGTTGTCATTTCTTGTTCTATTGCTTGAACTTGCCAAAACAAAAATTCCTAGCTTCTATTTGATCAGTTATATTGAATTATATGTTTTGCATGTTTCACAAGATAATTGATCGGTATGCTCCTTCCACTGTTTAGTAGTCCGAGCATTAGATTTGTTTAACTTGTTCTTACTTATTTCAGTTCAGTTTTCATTTGTAATGTATTGATCTTCTGAACCAAACCAAACAAATTCGTGTTAAAAACTGGATAACTTGAATTGAATTTGCAATTTGGTTGGTTCGGTTTGCACACCAGTAGTAATAACTTCCTAAAAGAGGCAAGTGATTAGGGCTTCCTTTTTCATTCAAACACTAGGCCTGTTCTTGTAAGGGGCCTAGAATTATATATTTTATTGATAACACCGAATGCAAATCGAGTTTATTCTAGACAATATTATTCTCAGTCAACCACTAATGATATTGGCTCAGAAGAAAAATTCTGGTTTGGTTTTCTGGCTTGCATTTCACAGAACCACACCAAAACCAGGGAAGTTTGAAAAAAGAAAGACTGATCAAACCAAACCAATCCCTCGAAGAGATGAACCAAATTAATCAATACTGCTTGCTTGCTTTAAAATACTGCTTGCTTGCTTGCTTGCTTTAAAAGATGAACCAACTCAGTTTTAACTAAATACTGCTTGCTTGCTTTAAAATCCTAGAAAATATTTGGATAAAATATTTTTTTTGACAAAAATAGCTTAGTAAAATGCTATTATTGTTGAATGAGTTTACTTAGAATTTGATGTTTTTTTAGTGTCAAAAAGAGTCTAAAAAAACATTGCTAGTTTGGTTTTATTGAAATATTATTTTAAGTATAGATGACCTGATAGGATAACTATTTTTTTCTTTTAGCCTAAACCATTAACTCAAAATACTTAAGCTAAGGTTAGCTTATACTCATAAAGCCAATCTAAATCTTACATCAATTATTTGTTTCAACTTTGCATATATATATATATATATATATTGCCATGCTATACTTGCACATCTATGGTTTCTGCAAATTTTGCTTTACGCAAATATTTTTTATTATCTTTAAACAATCTATTAAAGCTGTTTCTTATACAGGGAAGTAAATGTGAGTATCGTCACAGCGAGGGTGCCAGGTTTAACCCCAAGGATTGCTTGTACTGGCTAAAGGGAAACTGCTTGAATCCAAGGTGTACTTTCCGTCATCGAGTGAGTCGCTTGTTAATTACTGAATGCACGTTTAGCAGTCCACGTAATTGCATGCGGCATCACAGCTTCTTGTTTGATCGCATTAGAAATTTTGAGCACTTCAGTCATTCTTTCTATAGGCGGATGATGGAAATTACTTTTTCCTTATATTATCTTATGGTGGCAATAATCTTGTGAATGTCTCGCTGGATGGTATGCCAATGTTTTCATTCAAGCATTTGAACTAACATAATCATAACCTTCGGCTTGCAGCTTGTTGTGATCTGATATAATTCTGGTTTATTGACGGATGTTTAGTTGGAGACCTAATATTATTATTTTTGAGTGTTTTTGTAGCCACTTGAATCGCTGTTTGGAAATCCCAGGGCCATGGCAGTGCCTGCTGAACCTTCATCGTCAACAGCAGTTCAAGTTGCAGATCGTCCACCTCCTAATAATATTAACAGGAATACTACTCCCTGCTATTTTTTCATGAAGGGGAAATGCTTAAAAGGTGATGAATGTCCTTTCAGACATGGAGTTGGTACTCCATTAGACCTTCACAAGGACCAGCAAAGCACTCCTAGTGTAAGTGCTGTCAAAGCTGGCCAGTGTCGGTTTCAGTCCATGGAGGAGGCCCTTGAGTATTTTAAGAAGGATAAAGAGCTCAAGGGTGAGTCTTCTCATGATCGTATAGAGGATTCTGATTTCTTCCGAGATGTAGACGAGTGTGCTGCGGCATGGCTTCAACGTGGAAGGACTTTGGATTTTCTAGATCAATGTAATGACCCCCAGTCAGATCATCAACGGGAGAAAGATCAGCACACTGAGAACAGGGAGTCTGAAATGTCCGGGAGCTTACACGGGCGGGAACAGCAAAAGACCTCCTCCGAGTGGACTTTGGACATATCAATGCTCGAGAAAGGAAAATTGAGGGAGGAGAGCTATGATGAGTTAGATGATGAACCAGTTCCAAGATCGGAGACAGATCAGCACAGGGGCTTGCACGGACGGGATGAGAAGCTTTTGGAGGGACCATCAATGCGGACGAAAAGCAAGCCGAGGGAGGAGAGCAATGATGAGTTGGATCCTTGTGATCTCCGCCATCAGTTACCGAGAGTAAGAAGACCAAAAGATTCGGGACGGGTTAGCGATCCTGATGATCGTGGCAGTCATCGATATGTTCATGATGATAGTTCTCATGCTCAGCATTCACAGTGGGATCGCCAGTCTCTCGGAAGGGGAAGATCCAAAAGTATAATATCTCTGCCTACCAAATCTTCACCAGATCGACCTACTGGCTGGCCGTCTGCGATAGACACAGACGGAGAAAGGAAAAGAAGAAGATTATCGCCAGCCATGCTGATGAACGATCAGGAAAGCTGCGCAAGGTTGGATGCGGATTCAAGCTCCGGTGCAAGGAGGACATCTGGTGGACGGACAGCGGGAAAAGATGTTGCTTACCCTTCAGATTTTCCAGGCCCAAAGAGTCTTGCTGAGCTTAGAGGTGCAAAAGCTTCTCAGACCTCCTACGACGAGAAAAGATTAAGTTCCAGCGAAACTGCAGATCATCAGGAATATGGATCCTCCCTCTCTTTCGAAGGCCCACTGCCATTGAGTGTCATTCTCCAGAGGAAAAGAGAGGCTGCACCTGAGAAGAGTGCGATCTCAAGCAATGGGGAAGGAGATAATCAAGGAGATGCAGATGATCATTCTTGGGATCCTGCCGAGGATGGTGGGAATGTCCCTGAAGCATCCAAGGGTACGACGGTTGATGAAGAGGAAGAAGAGGGTAGGATCGCTAAGGAATTACTTGATGGTGCAGATGAAGTGGTTAATTATGAGGAGGCAGCTGAAGGCGAAGATAATGAATACGAGGTGGATGAAGATGACTTTGTCAAGATGGTAGGAGACCTATTGGTCTGAAAACAAGGTTGGCTGCTGCGTCTTACATGTCTACGGAAGACTGTAATGGTGCTGCCGACAGAGGAAGCCTTTACTTATTTCCATATGGGCACTCAATTAGAGAAGCCCAAGATGGGAAATTGGAAGCTTATGGGGCATTTTCTGAAAAATTGACCTGTATGAAGTTAATAGGAAACTGGATTATTTTGTGAACTCGGATTGTATTAGGCTGACTGACAGATTGATCAATGTTTATTTAGTTTATACCCTTGACTATTCAAGATGGGGGGTAAAATTTCATTGGGGGGCAAATGTTCCCCTTCAAAAGTCAAAACATCAATGCTCTTCTAAAAGTTGATGAAACTTCATGAGTTTCCCTTCAATTTGAAATTACTGGAGTGTATATTTGAATTTTTCTAGTTTTATATGAAAGTATGATGACTTGGTTGGTTATCATGATAGTGCATATATAATGTTTTTTCATATATTTTGAAAAGGTATATATAAATATATATATATATATATATATGATTACTTAAATAATGAAGTTAAATAATATCTCAAGAGTGATCCAAGTCTCTGGCACTGATTTGCATCCAATATTAATTTGATCAACTGAAAATAGTTTATACCAACTCGACTTTATCAAAGAGATCTTAAAAATACATATCAGACCATTATGACTGATACCATGTGGATTAAGGGAGGATGGACAATCTTTTTTAACATGATAATAATAGAATACTATTAGTCTAAGATCTAAAATTTAAAAAATAAGATCAATTTTTTTTATAAAAAAAAACCTATACAAGGCTTGGGTTCTTTAGTATTATAAACCTCTACAAAAGCTAGATATCACATGCCTAATATTATATTTTAAACTAAGATAAGATTATCTTATCTTATCATATTCATATTTGTTTGATTTATTAAAACTCTATACCCTATCCTAATCAAACTATCCAAAACTCAATATTAACTAGATAAAACTCTTAAATATATATTATATTAAACTTTACAAGGCTATTAAATCAGGTTGCATCGATAACGAGATCTTTGTGCCCATCCTCATTATAGGCACTCTTCCAAAGTATTATCTTCATGGATTAATGTGGTGAAAGAGATATCATGATCGAGTGATTGAAATAAGTGTTAGATTATATGGTCCTATTTAATTAGGTAAGATGTATTATATATATGATTAAAATCAATTCTATCCGAATATGTTAGGATTGTCTTTGTGCCTACTTCAATATATAGCGTTAATGCAAAGGTTTAGATTCCTATCTCCATAAGGATTTCGACCATTCCTGGTGATCATGCTTTTGCTGTTGTTGCTCCTCGCTCGGGAGGTAACCCTTCTCTAACTTGGGCTAAGGTTCTTTCTCGTCGTATGACTTCTGCTTATACGACTTTTGTTTTGTTAGGAAAAACTATTATAGTAAAATAATTTTTTTTCTACTTTGTCTATCAAAATAGGTTCCTCATCAAAATATCAACTTGTTATCAAATATAAATATTAATCAGAGAAGCATAAACAATAGAACAATGAATCAATCACAAAGTGAGATACCAAATTTTTTATATGAAAAACCCAATGCAGAAAAAACCATGGGACCATAGTCCATTTCAAACTTCCACTGATAATGATAACACATTTACAATAAGTCTTCTATGGAATAATCAGATAATCACAATAATACAAGAATATATTTCTTGACTCAACAATAATATATCATCATCACCATAAATAGATTTCATTAAGGAAAAGATTTAAATCTTACCAAGTGAGTATAGCAAAAAAGTACCTTAAAGAAGATAAACTACATATCAAAACCGTTAAGATTGTATAACTTATTGTAAGAATTTTTTACATAAAATTTGGATCAAAACCAACAAAAATTTAACCGTTTGATCACCTAACAAAAACCTAAAAATTTGAACTTTTTCTCCCTGTTGTTCCTTTTCTCAGTGTCGCCATGGTTAGATTTGAACACAATGCGCAAATCAATTAGTCCAAGCCGGCTGGACCAACATGTTCCTAGTTCTTTCCTTTTGGATTCTCGATTTTGGAAGATTTCGTGTGTTTTGATAAGGTGAGACCTATTGAACGGCGTAAACCATGCCAATTTACCTTTGTTGGTCGGTTCTCATGCCGATCGCCGCCTATTGAGTTGGTTAAAGCTTTCACGGTGAAGTTTTGGAAAACCTCTTCTCCTCCTCTTGTTATAGATATGGAGATGAATCATTTTCTTTTTCGTTTTCCATCCGAGGAGGATGCTTTACTAGCTCTTACAGAGGGCCCTTGGACTATCGGTGGTGAAGCTATCCATATAATTCCTTGGCATCCTGATTCCCAACCTTTGCAGGAAACAATTCACTCTTCCCCGGTTTGGGTGCAGTTTCCGGGTTTACCTTTCGAGGATTGGAATCACGAAAGTTTGCCGAAGATTAACTATGTTACTGATTGTCCTATTAAAATCAATCTATCTTCGTGCAGCCAGCGGACGACTGCTTGTTCATAGCTCTGTTTTCTCCTTCTCCCCATCATCACAACAGGACCGTAAACATCGCTCCGGACACCCTCAGTTGCTACTATCCAACAACTCCATCTCTGTGATAGATGCAGAGCTCAGCTTCTCCTGTTTCTCCTGCTGCTCCAAGGTCTCGCATACTGGAGCATTCCTCGTCTCCGGAAGCCAAATCGTCATTAGCCCACCGAAAATGGAGAGTCCACCGAATATGAGGAAGGAAATCCATGGGCTCAATCGCCCCAAAGTCACCAGATGAGGTGCTATCGCTGCACCCAACATCAGCGACTGCCGAAGCTTGGAGACGGCCAAGTTTCTCACGTTGGCAGGGAACAGCTCGACGCAGTAGACGTACAAAACGTCGAAGACCGTCGAGGCGGCCATGAATCCAACAGACTCCGCGCTCAGCTGCGCGAAGTTGCCTCCTCTCGTCGTCGGCTTCTTGGTGAACAGAATGCAGAGGATGCACGACACGCCGGCCACGAACGCCGAGGACGAGAAGAGGGTGCGGCGGTTCGCGAAGCTCAGGAACACGCTACCTATAAAGACCGCCGGGATCTCCATCAACGCGTTCACGCCGACGGTGAAGTAGAGATTGAAGTTGAGATTTTCGACGTTGAGCTGAAAACCGTAGTAGACGAACCCGACGGCGAAGCCGGTGACCATGATCGTGGCTATCCTTCGTGTTGCCCATCTTGATGACCATAAACTCTCAGGTTTGGTGGCGCTACCGGCGTTAGTGTCAATGGGATTGGAGATCGCTATGTTCCCAGGTAGCTTACTCCCATTGAGTTTGGCAAACTTGGTCAAGACATCGAGCGCTTCTCCGGTTCTTCCTTTGACAGCGAGCCATCTTGGAGACTCTGAGACGAAGGGGATAATTAAGATGGAGTAAACGAGGGGTAGAAGGGAGATGACCTTGTAAATGGTCCTCCATGAGGTCCTCGCCGGGTAAGCGACGAGCGGAAGCGATAGGAAGCCGATGGTGAAGAAGAAGAAGCCGTACTGGCCGACTTGACCCCTCCACTTCCTTCCCACGGTCTCGGTGGCGAGGACGAGGCAACAGATACCGATCCCGGAGCGAGCAAAGCCATTAGAGAAGCGCAGGAGCGCGTACACCCAGATGTTTGGGGCGAGGGAGGTGAGGAAGGTAGTGATGGAGGTCAAGAGGCACGAAAGGAAGACCGTCTTCTTGCGGCCGAGGTAGGAGTCAGCGAGTCGGCCATGAACTGCTGATCCTACAAAGCCACAAGCAAGAGTCCATGTCAAGAAGGACATGTTTCATGGTTCCAAGCCTCAAATACACATCAAGGATTAACATGCATTATTGTTATACTGATTCTGAATCTTCATACGAGTGGCCGTCACTAAAAGATGTAGAGATCTATTGCTCGATCTTGATGAACAGTGACAAAAATCAATAAAGGAGGTTGTTCCCTTTACACAAAAGCCATTATAATAGACAATAAAAGGCTATAACATTGTTACTTTTATCTGTAAATAACATAGAGGACTAGTCCTACAGTGTTATTCTCTCTCAAAAATGGTTCTTGCAGCAATAATAGATTGAACACAAGGGATGAAGCTTAACGAGTCTTATGTGCTCCGTTCATAGGAAGTTGATCCCCTGCCTGATCTAGCGTTTATGCATTGCTTGGCCATAGTAATCTGATAACAAGGCATACCAAAGAGTGAACCGAGGAAGAAGAAGGATGCAGGAATCCCAGCTCTGAACCTTCGATCGCACACGAGGCCCCATTCTGCTATGATAGAGGTTTTGTTCCCTCCGACCCACTCCCAGGCACAACGATCGAGGCCGCACATACCGTCCGAGGAGCTCGACGAAGAGCACGAAGAAGAAGAAGAAGAAGAAGAAGGTGTGCATCTCCAAGCAGGTTGGGCGTCGCTGAATATGGTGATCAGTGTGTTCTGTGCGTCGAACATCCATGCGAGGGAGACGAGGAAGACGTGCACCAGTTGAGCGAAGCCCAGCGACCCCACGTGCTCTTCGATGGCCTCCTCCACGGTGATCTCCAACCTCGGAGCCGAACGGGCTTCCGGTTCACGCTCACCGGACTGGACTACCAGTTCTTGGAACTCGTCCATGGATGATGATGATGATGCTTCTGCTGCTGCTGACAAGACGCCTTTTAAAAGGCACTCGAAAGAGCTGCGTCATGAAGCAACGGACAGAAGGCATAGTTATCGCCACCTTATGCTGTCTTTTCTCCGTCCCATACGTTCCTTTCAGGTCGTTCGAACTACACTCGCCACCTTTTCCCCTCGAAGTGGCTCTTGACGTTGCATTGCACAAAGCTTGTCGAAGGAGCTGAAATAGATGTCGTCTGTTGCTGATACAAAGCCACCATCTTCCACAACCTCGACCAAGAGGCTGGTCTGGTAAACATCAGAATCTGTCGTCAGAAAGAAATGGTAAAGGATGAACTCACAACTCATCCGTTCGTACTGTAATCCCAAGGAAACTTCTCCAGTGTAAAACAACCCATGAGAAAAGTTGTACGGAAGAAAACAGACATCTCAGTTCCTAGAGAACACTGATGACAAGATTCTAGTATATTTGGAATCTTTTCTAGGTGCAAGAGAATATTCTTCAGAATCGGAAATCTAATGAACAATACGATTTTGCCTATAAAGACAGCACTTTGAAATCGGTGCTTGCCTTGTCATCAAGGCATTTAGAGATGCTTCTTCTCACCAAAAAAGCTGCTTACCAAAGCATTCCTCTGATACAAGTCAGCAATTTTATGTTGTCTTCTTTCTTTCTTTTGTCAGTGATAACGGCCCCTTTCGGGTTACGGACAAAGCATGAGTGGCCATTCTTTTTACCCACCAAACACTGAGCTGCCCAATTCGCTTAAGTGCGTCGTGAACACGAGAAATCCACGTGAAAAGTGTCGTTTCAACGGATCTCACAAAGGTTGAAATAATTGACTACACATCCTTCTTGTCTTCCAATTGCATGAGTATCTACTTACCTCCGAGATAAGAGATACATAAGATATTTCTTTAATGGTCCTGATTTCCCAAGTTAATTATATATTTTTCCGTCCCTTATAGTATCCATTTTTAGATTTTTAAAACTTACATTTGGATCTTCACTGTTTTAAAATTATTATAATTTATTTTATTTTTAATTACACCATTTATTTCTTTAACTTTACACATCATGTGTGAAATTGATGCCAAAGTTAGGAACAAAATGACTGTGCCTGCATTGAGTTTTACCCAAATTAAAACTAGGATGATACGTAAGTCAAAAATTCATCCTGTCGTCTCTTATTAAGAAGACCCTCCTTCTTCGTATCCCCAACGTCATCCTTCACCTCATTAATTATCACAGTAGCCTTGAGCTTAACGTTTAAAATTTCTTCCTCATACACCTTCACTAGGGCGACAACACCATTCTCATCTACGTCGTTGATAGCCCGTCTCGTCTATTAGCTCCTCGCTCGTGACGAGGTCATTGTCAAACTTGATCATTCGCACTATTTCCTCTCTCTCCGCATCTCCACTACCTCTTTGAACAAATGGCAACCACGATGACAATAATAACATTCTCCTCATTTTAAAATGTGGCCTTACCTTCGCCTCCAAGGGGCAAGAGGATATCCTCAGGGAAAGACTTCTCTAGGCTTGTAGCAGCTTCTTGGTGCAAAGGAATTGGACAGACCTCTTGAAAGGGAAGGATCATAGTGAGGTGCTAGACAAGTTGGTGGAGAGGGAGGTGACTTGGGCCAAGGGAATAGGGTCAAAGAAAGAAGATGGAGGAGGAGTCGACTGCATACCAGACAAGCCTCGTGCCTAACATGGAGGATTAGAGTAGCTCGGTGGCAAAATTGATTGTTGAGGGTTCCAAGCAACTCATCATAGGATCTTGTGGTGCGGGGATGTGACATTGGATCGGCTCAATGGATTTTGTTGAAGTCCAAACTTTGTGAGAATCCAAATATGACTTAAAAATCCAAAAATCCTAATACTATAAGGGCCAACTACAGAGAAAAATATAGTTTCGCTCTACTCTATTCAACCTGATACCATATGGATCATTGATCATGTAATGAGTGGTGGGTTGTTGATCCACATGTGGATACGAGAAGCCAATAGGTTCCAGTACAGATTTATTAATATTCTTCATACAATTCTAATTACACCAAGTATCATGTTTAACATGAGTTTGATGGAAAGAACACAAGGCAAATTTACAGGGTCCAGAAACAGGAGGTCGAATAGGAGGGGGGAAGATGAAACAGAGCACTTGTACCTTTTATCTATCTCCACTGGTTCACAACTTCCATCTCTCGTTGCACCTTCAGAGACCGAATTCTCTTGGATTAGTTTCCTCTGTTGGACTTGATCCTGCAATTGTGATTACAATCAATTGACCGTGAATTCATGTGGTTGAAACTAGCACCTTTTCATATTCTAATCACAGACAGCAGTTGAACCTGATAAAATGCCACTGGTGTTATATTTGGGCATTTGGACTATGAAACATATAGCAAAATGCATTTTATTTTTTCGGGTTGTAGTTACTCTAGAGTATTGTTTTTGAAAGATCACTGAATAATGTAGCAGACCTATCCAAAACTGTCAGCTTTTCCTCGCCTTTGTAAGGGAGACCACGTCTTAAATCACAATAACAAAATCATATAAACTTGTCCGCTCACCTAAGAGCAGCAGGCTGATGTCTGTGATCTTTGAGTTGGCCTATCTGCAAGAACCATCCCTGCTGGCTGCTGAGCAGGTTGAGCCCGTGGTAATCTTCTTGCTGTTGCATAAAAAAGTCACCATCTTATTTTTACTACAGGGAGTTGGAAACTTCAAAAGCATTCTTAAACTGAATACAGACCAGACAACTGTATCACCAACCTATCTAATCGATAATGACCATATAAAAGAAGGTACATGACCATAGTAATTTGCTAAGACGGTCTCGCGGACAAACAACATGTGAGTTTCAAGAAAATGCTACAAAAGAAAGGTGCTACCTTCATCGGTGAAAACACAACATAAAATAGTTCATAAAGATATTATCAACCGGGAAAAAAAAAGTAAAAACTCAATCTGATGGCAGATCTTTCATCTGACCAGAATTCAGTGGGCAGTTCTTTATGTCATGTTCATCAGGAACATTATTTCAAGATATTTTAGCAAAGGATTTATAGGTACTAGCCCTGACATCAAACCGATTTTGCTTATAAGACTTCAAGCACTGGAGACTATAACCTTTTTGTTGAAAATTCAATGATCTTGCTTTATCAGAAACTTTACCAACAAATAAGTCAGGAAAGGTGAAAATGATCAAATCATTATATTGAATGAAATATGAAACAATCATTGATATTAATCATCATATATGCAGAACACAATCATATAGAAAATTTATAGAAGCAGGCCATCCTGCATTGATCTGATGTGTGCAACTGTTACACACTTCAGAACAACTGTAGGTTATATAGTTAAGAAAATGCATTTCCAGAATAGGAATCAATATCTAATCAGATTAAGCAATGATCTAAATACAAGGATATTTATTATGTAAATGAAATTTGAATATGAGAACATATCATATATAAGCATCAGATTTGTATTCCCACCTCAGAACATGGCAACTACTCCATAAATTAGAGCTACTAAGCTTGTCTTTCTATGAGTTAACATGAACAAATATAAAGGATCATACCTATTTCATAGAATATGTCATTCACATTTATGGCAGTTTTAGCAGAGGTTTCCATGAATAAAAGTCCATTCTCTTCGGCATATGTCCGTGCTTCCTGCAATAAAAAGACTAAAAGACTGTTTTGCATTTCTTTTGCAAAAATATATATTTTAAAAGAAAAACATTCATCACCAAACTACAAGCCCATGAAAAAAATAAAGAATGGACAGCCACGTACAAATTAAAGTTCATGTAAGATAAGAAAGCATCAATTAAGAGGATGTTATCTCTGCAAATGGTTGAATACCAGAATCTAATCAACAGATATGAATAGTAGGAAACTTCAGCTACTGAAGAGCATGCTAATAATAATACTGCCCATTTCACAGGAAAAGGCGGGTGGCATGTCACAATGGTTTGCTTATTCCATATATTATACTGATGGAATCAGTTAAGTGTCTGCATGGTATAATCTCTTAAAGTTTGCAATGTTACATTGAGTGAAGTTTTCTGGAAAAGGCCTTTAGTTGGAACAGCAGGTGGTAGCATCCACCTCAAAGTTCAGAACACTTGCAAAATCCCTTAATATTATCATTTTCTACTTCACATAGAGGACTTTTGGTGCAAGTGAATCAAAGACAGGAAGAAAACTATTAGGAGACGCAATGAATCTGAAATCTTAGCTCCTGCATCTGCTACACATAATCTAAACTATATCTAAATTAAGATGCAGCCTCACTAATGTTGCCAACGGATTGATTCAGTTTTTTTTTTTTCCCACATGTGCTACTGTGCATAATCAACAAATCACACTGGCTTCTTGATTAAAAGCAGGCTCTTTTAATCACAATGCTGAGATGGATGTCTAGAATTTTTATGGAAGATCTGCTCTATTCTAATTGGATGGCATGGTCCATAACCATAGGGTCAGGGATGGTCGGGTTGGGGCAATGCACCTTTGGACATGTGACACGTCTTGCAGTTCTGGCTAAAGTGCTAACATGAAACATCTTTTCTAGAAAACAACAAACAATAAATGTTTGCATTTTTAAACAATTAGGGGTAGTTGCTATTGGTCAACAAATGAGGGAAACTGTCAATCTAGCTAATCTCAAATAGTTGGTATATATATCACAGCTTGTTCTGGTTATAACATACAAGTCCAATAAGTACTCTATTTTGATCCCAGTTAAAATTAAAATAAAATGACAGCTTTGAATTCAATCTCTTTCTATTCACTGAAAACAAGCAACCCTGTTAATCTTAACAATCTGAAAATCACCATAAGAATGATACAGAAGTTAAAGAAAATTGACAAGTAAACTAAGTGAAGCTTGAGAGTAGAAAAAAGAACTGCTATAACTTTGGTGGCACAGATTTCTTTAAAAGCCTAAGTGCAAAAGGTCTATTTGTCAGGCAATGGAGTAAGCACACTGTTTAATCACAACTACTTTAAACATAAAATTATAGTTTCAGCAAACAATGCAACATATAAATCATAAATGGTCCGTCGATAGCCGCCAAGCAACATTCAAAGAAGGGAGGGATCCTCGCAATAAGGTCCACATATGCAACTTAATAAGAAATTGTTAAGCTCGGCAACAAACTTGCCTCAGTTGGGACCTCTCTTTTATCATCCAAGTCACATTTATTTCCCGCAAGAGCAGTCACCAGATTGGGAGAACCTACAGTACAGTATCCACATTAGCATGAACATCATCAGTCAATCAACTAGCAAAGCTCAACCTGTTCCAGCTCTAAATGACCTTGTTTTTGAAGCTCTTGCACCCATTTCTTAGCCTTCTCAAATGATTCCTAAACTCAAAAGAGAGAAATTGAAGTCAAGAAAACCAGGAAGGAAACAGAAAGTAAAGGATGAAATAAGATTTTTAACCATCCAAGTCCCCTGACACAATGAGATAAAAGTTTGCCACTGGATGAAACTGGGATTAAGACGGCACACACCATTCTGGAGATATCATACACAATAATCGCAGCAGCTGCTCCTCTGTAATACATCGGCGCCAGGCTGTGGTACCTCTCCTGCCCGGCCGTGTCCCAAATCTCAAGCTTCACTGTGGCGTCGCTCACCGCCAGTGTCTGCGAGAAAAAGGCCGCCCCGATCGTGGACTCCTGCAATCGGTCCAATAACAACGGCCTAACTTTCAACCCCGAATCGTTCAAAAAACCAAATCAACTTCGACGAAGAGGAAACAATAAAAGCAAAAAGGGCAAATTCGGAGCAACGAGGACCTGGAATTCGAGGAACTGGCCCTTGACGAAACGAAGAACGAGGCTGGACTTCCCGGCGCCCATGTCGCCCAACAAGACCTAGGGTTGGAAAAAGATCCGGGTTTTCGATCGGAGAAAAGGATATAGATTAAGGGGAAATAGGAGAGTCAACTCACGAGCTTGGCGTTGATGCTATTGCTACCGATCGTCGCCATGGTTTCCGTTCCAGGATAACGAAGGTTCCGATTGAGTCGAGGAAAGTCTCTGCCGACTCTGATAGACTTGGATGGAGAATCGAAGACGAACCTGCCAGAGGACAGAGAAGGAGGGGGTCGGTTGATTCGGCGTTTGACTAATTACCTGTCGCCTGCGTCGCGTGCGACGTATTAAGTCCAGCCAGGTAAGCAGATCGTCACTCGACTGTCTCTATCCGACAGGATTCATCTTCTTTTCAACTAGAAGACGCTCTCCATCGCAGAAAGGGTGGACCCCGTCGTCACGCCATGTGGGCATAAAAAGCAGGGACCCAATGATGTTCAGCAATCATCGTGCTGCCACAGGGAGTGTTATACATCAAGGTATGCAGCGGATCCGCAGAGTGGTATGCTGTCGCTCTCCGCTGTTGCGGGTTATATCCTGTGCATAGAAGCCAAAACTTTTAACTGCCACCACGTCAGCTGGCAAACTAATCATACGTGGAAGGGTTCCTGCGAATGACAGAGCAACTCTCCTCCATAATCAAAGCGTCAAGTGTTGAAAGCGATTATTATTTGAACGGCCATAAGGAGCGAGGAGAAATGGGTTCCAACTGATAGATGTATTTTTTTTTAAGATAGATTATGGCATCGGTCATCATCATCATCATCATCATCATCATCATCATCATCATCATCATCATCATCATTCAATGCTTTTTGAATAATAAAATATTTCATAAATCAATCAAAACCACAAAAGTGGCTAACACATGTATCATTATTTCGAAAATAAGTGAGACAGAATCATTGGAATACTTAATCTTGCACTATTAAGACTGACATCATGATACAAAAAATTCTTTATCTTTTTCTAAAGCATATAAGAAATATAAATTAAAATCACATATAAAATCTAATATATCATGGATGCATATTTTAATTTATTTTTTCCATTATATTTCGACTCTGGTCTTTCTTCTTTTATTTATTTATTTATTTATAATCACTCTTTCTTGTTCTTCTTCCTCTTTCACTTTTCTTTTTTTCTTTTATTTCTCCTTCCCTTCGTCGCCCTCAATCTGTGGCTGAGTGACAGCAACCTTGTTTTTGTGTTTTTGGCTCAATCTGCTGACCCCATCTTCCTCATGCCATGGTTGGCACTTTCCCGCACGCCACCTACGCTGCAAGGTTGCAACATCATAATCTCATCTCCTCTTGACCACCAACGCAAGCCTTGGCTTGGCTTGCTAAGATGATCAATCTTTTTGTATATAAGTATATTCTTTCTCTTCCCTTTCTCTTTACTGTTCACTTCCGTCACCATAGACACTTTGTTTTCTCTAACTTCCTTCTCTCTTTCTTTTTCTCTACCTATCCCTATTAATTTCCTCTTTCTGTCTTCTTCCTTTTTCTTTCCTCTCAGGCCTCCCTTCTTTTTTTCTTTCCTCCTCTTCTTTGATCTCTACTCTGCTTTTACTGTTCACATACTTTTTCTTCTTACGTTTCTTCGTCTCTTCCTCTCACGGGTTCCTCTTCTTCTTCCTTTTTTTTTTCTGTTTATTTCTTCCAACATCCTTCTCTCTATTTTCCCCAAGCAAGGTTACTTGACCGTGACCTTGGCTTCATGGCACCACCACACGCCGCCGACCAAATGGATGCATGGATACAACCATGCGCCGACGGAAAGCCATGGCTCGGCTTGTTGCGATCATCATCGATATATCCTTAACACAACGTCCAAAATCAATATAAGTTTCGACTTTAAATTTGCGTAGGAATAAGATCTTGATCCTCCAGTTTGTGTAGGACTTGATGAAATACCCAAGTCGAGTGTTGGCGTTATGTGGTTTCATACAAATACTTTACTCAAATGCTGGTTCGCATATTCTCTGTATTGACTTGAAGCAACTGTTAGCATAAAATCTGTAATCATGTTATCTGTAATGCGAAAAAACTTTTATTTCAGGATTGAAATCAAATAAAATTAAATCTAATAATATTACGATATGTACCTTTCGTTGTTACGAAGAGAATACAGGGAAGTCGATACGCTGACTTCAATTTTGATGAAGAGAAATAAGAAGATGAGCTCATGGAAGAAGACAAGGAGATAATTAAGAACGACATGTAGTAGCAAATTTAAGAATATTTTCTCTTCCAGGAATCACCTTCACGAACTGTGTTCCCTTCCTCGAGTTCAGAGGAGCAGAAGGGCCACGATTATTACAAGGAATTGGCCCGGAAGTTCTATTTCAGAAACCGGTGTGCTTGGCACTTCCCCTCGTTTGCAGGAAAAGCTTCATGCACTACGAAGGGGCCTTCAGCATCAGTTTCCAGGTGATGGGAGTGCTCGCAGCAGATTTTTAAGGGAGTAATGCCGCAGTTTCTGCTTTGTGAGGAACTGAATGATGTGTTCTACACTGCGTAAAATAATAACAAAACACAATGTTATCAATCAATTCTCGCTGATCAGTCGCATGGCCTTTTTCAAATTGTATAAGTACTTCCTGACAAAAACAGGTGGAATTCTCCACTCACTGTGATCTCTCTCTCTCTCTCTGGTTAGATTTCTTTGTGTGGTTTCAAATAAGTTGTAGCAATGTAAACATATATGAGCCGAGAAAATCTTCCTTTTGATTTATTTTGAGTCACATAAGTGTGAGCTATATTTGCATCAGGAAAAAGCCCAAATTTACAATCCAGATTGCAGATGGCAGACAATCTAATGTGCATCACTTTGAACTTTGACAATATCTTATCAACACAGTTAGTGCTCAACAGGCAAATATTTTCTTCTATATATAGCTGTCTGAAAGCAGGGTTTAGGCGGTGCAAGAAATGATGATGCATCAGAAGCAGAGAAGATTTAGTGGTCATCTGTAGAGACAGGCTCGAAACGTTGGCATCCAGTAGTCCGGTCCGCAATTTTCTCGGTGGACTAGAGGAATGCAAGAAATAGGAACCAAGCAGAGTCCTTTGCTCCTCAAGTCAAGCTTCGCCTCTGCTTTCTCCTTCCTCTCCATCTCTCCCCAAGAACTGTGATCCTGAGATGAATCAATAAGAATCATGCCACTGTTAATTTTTTCTTAATTCTGCCGTAAGATTTAGGTGATGCGAATACCTTGCTAGCACTTGACTTCATAAATGGGTCACTCAGCAACTGCATGAACACATCAAGAGACCCCATAAGATTTATGCGTAAAACATGCTGAATTAACCCACTATGGTGCTGATGATTCTAAGAGTTGGGCAACAGTCGTTTAAGAACATTAAATTCTGGCCATTACAGAACACAATCATCATTTGCAGTGATTATGCACTTCGTAGAAGCTTACCTGTACTTGCTCTTGAAGAACTTCGATGCATTTAATCGTCTCGAGTAGCACTGATGCTGTGTCAGTCTGCCATGGAAGAATGGGCAGAGGATGAATTCATGTGGTATGGTGTGAGTGTCTGCATAAATATGTTCATACATGTGACTTTTACCTTCCCGAAAGGTGACACAAGTTGTTGCAGTGCAGTGATTTTATCTGCCAACCTGACCTTCGGTGCCTGCAACTAGTTCCCAAGAACAATATATTCTGCGTTAGATCTGTTCTTTGGATTTAGAATATTCCATGCATTACTTGCTTTCAGCTGATTTGCTGTCCTAATCACTCCATCAAACAAACTTTAAGATGCACCGAGTTTTCGTTCCATCGCTTTACCTTGAGAGATGAAACGGCTGAGTTCTCATGCTTGGACTTCTTCGACACAGTCTCTGAACTCTCCTCGGATCGTTTCTTCTTACCTTCACTTGCTCCAGAGACCATCCCATTCCCTCTAGTCTACAAGACAATAAAAGGAATAATGTTTGGGCTCATTTCTATATGTCAGTCAGGAAAAGAAGTTTTAGTGTAGCTTACAGAGGAACTATCATGTCCATGCTTCCTGGTATCAGATGAATCCGAGCCCTTGAAATAAGGCCTTGAGGGTCGTAGTACATCCACCGGTAGCTTGTTTAGACAGCCACTAAAGGAGATGAGGTCCGACAAACTTCTCGTGCTTGTCCAAGGAAGCTCACTCGTCCCTGCTGCACAGAACTTGTTGTCGAGTCCCACGGCCGAAACCTGGTGGTAGCCAACGCCATTGCGTAGGAAAGAAGTTGCAGCAGCTCCCATGTCTTGGTGGTGGCTCTCTGCTTTGATAATGCGATCGTAATATGACATATGACCTGTACTTCTTCCCCTTGCCATATCACCGTCGGGATACGATGGGGAATGAAGAATCTCATGCTTGGCATGAGCGACATTTGATGTGGAATACTGAGCCATCGGTGGGGTGAAAGGGAAACCGCAGGCTGATGGCGCAACATGGCGATCGAGCTGCGGGTTCGGAGGCGCAATAGACCGGTTGCTAACCATTTCCGATATGTCCTTGGTCACTCCTGCAACCTGGACCATTGTGCTTCCGGTGTAGTTGCCCAATTGCTTCTTGAGGCTGTTCAGCGACAGTGGGTTCGCGAATTCCCAGCTGCCGTCCAATTTCTTGAGGTAGTCACAAGCAGGTTCAAACATCTCGTCCGGCGTGAAGCCTTTGGAGGTCATCACTTCAAGCAGGTTCTCGCCGTCGTCGTCGTCGTGGTTGCCGCGCATGTCTCCGCCGCTCCCGACATTTCTGAAACATCCAATTTCCAAGTTTAGCTCTCAGTTACTCATCCTGAAACACAATTGCTTCTGTTACCTATCAAAGAACAACAACGAGGGATCCATAGAGTGCATGAATGATCGAACTTTTTAGATCTGCGAATAAACTAAGGCACTGATTTGATGTGCGTTAAAGGAAGGTGGAAGGAAACGTTGATTTAAATGATGAAAAAGGAATAGGGGATCAATTTAAAGTGCGTCTTAAAGAATAGGATCCGCTCTTGAGACAAGAATCTTAATCTTTCTGCACCACACGCACCAACTAATATCTATATCTTCCCCTACTATATTTTCTTTCTATTAGTAGGCAGATTCTAGCCCACTAAGCTCAATCATGGAGACGGCTACTAGCCATAAACACTTACAATAGAACCTGGTTCCACAAATGGTGGTTCTCCACTGGCTCGCCTGAGAGGCCGACGGAGGAGGAATTCATGCTGAGGCCCGAGTGGGGGGACACGTCGGTGAAGGAAGTGGTGTTGCAGACGGAGATGTTATCCTCGTCACACGACGAAGCGGAGCGGAGGCTCGGCCTTGGCCATTGGCTGACGCTGCTCCGAGTGGCGACGGAGTTGGCGGGGATCTCCCACCAGCTGTTGGCTGACACAGAGGAGGAGCTAGCAACCGAGGTCTCGAAGGCTTCTTCCGCCATGGCACGCGTGCATGTGGAGGCTTGTTTGGCTCAAGTGGCCGGGAAGAGGAGGGGATATAAAGGAGAACATAGCCAGCCGTTGGCGTGACATCAGCCCGTGGACACTGACGTATGCATTCGAATGGCGAGTGAAAAGGGAAGATCTATTGGGGGGCAAACAAGTATGCCTATCCTTGTGTTCTTTCCACTGAGGTTGCGTGCAATTATTATGGCGGAGAAGGGGCCAATGAAGGAGGGCGGTGTAAGGGCTTCTCTGCTTGCAGGCAAAGAGAAAGAGAAAGCATTTCTTCACGCAGCCTAAATTGCAGCTACTTATCCTTTCTTTATAGCCATGATTGGAGTCCAATGGAGACGGTGGAGAAGAAACAAAAGCCGGTGCTTATGGTTGTCTGACCCGAGAGAAGAATTTGGAAATGCTATGGACTCGAGGAGTTCCTATTTGGACTAATCACCTGTTGGTCGTATTACAATTATGGCTACAATCTTCCCAAGTACCTGTAACCTTTTCACTGTTGACAGCGAAAGATCGATTTCCTCAGCTCTAGTTCTGATAACCACATTCTCGTGGTCCTCCTAGACAAGTTCTTATAGCCTACGCAAGTGAAAGATGATGCTTGGGCAAAAAGAGAGAATATTCTCTCGTCAAACAATTCTGACTCCCTCTTTCTTGATGTTCTGTATCTGATCCACAATGACTCTCGACCGTATATGTGTATGTACATATATGCATGATGGCATGAGACATGTACATGAATGTTTCAGTTGCCTAAGCTCCGAGTGTTCGAGTTACCAGCTGCTGATACTGAGGAGGCATATGAACATTAAAGCGTACAAAATAAAGGCAAAAGCAGCAAGGACAAGCTCGGTGCTGGTGGCGTTGGTGGAGTTTTAGAATTCAAAGGATGCAATTGATGGTCTCCTTGTTGCTTTTTTCCAATAATTCTTGCAGGATATGTACGCAAAGAGAGATGAGTGTGAATAGAATAGAGATGAAGTGGTAAAGATAAAAAAAAGGATCCTTTGGTGTACAAAATAAATTGGAAGAAAAGAGTGCAGAATTAGTGTTCTTGAGGATAGAAATTCTTCATTCGACATTGGGCGGACTAAGATTAATTGTCTCATGTGTTTAGGAAGGGAGAGGAACAATGTAGCTAATTGGTCATTTTTGGACCAGAGATCGTTCTCAAGAACTTGATTCTTTGGGTCGTGATGATGCAAATGGTTTCCTTAAAAGAGAGAGAGAGAGCTGAGAGAACTCGAAGAGAAAAAGGACCGATACATATTTCTCAGTAGCTCTACGTAGCAGCCGATATGACCATCCTTAACTATAGTGAAGCATTTCAGTCCCAATCTCCTTAGCAAGAAAGCATAGCATCAAGAGAAACAAGAGCTACGTATAGTTCTTGTTCTAGCATGTAGTCATTCAAGTACCCTAAAGCTATGAGATGAAGGTTTAGTGGAAGATTAGTGCAGTACTCCATGCTTTGCTTACTAATATCGCCATGAATGGGGGACACATAAGCGTCACATTAGCTGATTTATGTCAACTTGGAGAGAAACACGCATGCTTCATCCATCTTTCTTCTTAAACCTCTCACAAACATGGCGATCAAATCGTCGAGCCTAGTCGGTCTTCTAAAGAAGGAGCTAACATATGTTCAACATGACATTATGTCACAATAATGCCCCATGCATGGCCGTAATGGGAAAAACAGGAAATCACATTTGTTTAGCAAGGCCGCATTTTTCTAGCTTATCTATATGCTAATTTTAATCTTGTATGATTGCTTAAGGTGGTGCAATCGTGTTCATGGTGGTTCCCCACCCTAACCCTCAATCCATATGACATATATTTCCACCAGAATTCCCTTTCGGATTGCACTCGCGAGGTTCTTTTCTCTATGATACCTACACGCAGGATGAACAAAATACGTAAGTGTGCTATAAAAATTCTCAAAAGTAAAAGGCATGCATGCAGGGATATCTCTCATAATCAAATTAGTTTAGAATAAGATCGGCATAACTTTAATTAGGTAACACAAAAGGCATTGCACAAGGAAGAAAAGAATACTGAGACTCGGACGGCATTATTCCCAACTCAACTTGATGTCATTGTCAGGTGCTCATATATCTACAGATCATATTAATCGGTATTATTGATGCAGAACTTTTGAACGACGCCATGTCACTATGGTGAGGGAGATGAGATGGGCCTACATGCACGTAAGGGCACAATAATGAAGGTAGTGATAGCAATGCCATGGCTGCGACAATTGCAGAAAACTCAACCTCTTTCGTGAACACTGAAATAACCAAAAAGATTAGTGAAGCCATTATCTCACTTAGTGGTGGCCTTTTGTCGTTTAGTCAAAGGTTGAGAGGTCAGTGAGGTGCAGCGATGGTGGGCAAGATGGGGCCGCTTCTTTTGGAGGAGGCGGATGAGACAATGGATGATTTGAGCAATAAGCACGCGAGAGTCTCCAAGTTGGATCAAAAGCTAAAGCACAAAACGGGAAGCTTGTTTACTTAATTACCGGCAATCTTAGGAGGGGTTTATCTAATCCATGTTGACCCTTCATTTGTCAATCATTTGAAGGCAGTAGAGTTGTATATACCTCTCCCTCTTTCTAAAAGCCACAGCACCAATGTCTTCCTTCTCTCTCTCTCTCTCTCTCTCTCTCTTCTCTTGAAAGTGTGTCACTTCCCACCCAAGTTTGGTGGCGAGGGGTGACAAAAATGGGGTTCAGATGAAGACCAAGTGGGCAGGCGTCAACTTCTTGGCTGAGGACTACGGTTTATGGGTGAAGGAATCGATGGTGTGAAGGTTACCATGGTGGATGGGTGTTGAGTGAAGGAAGACTCTGAATGGTTTGGTCAACGGGATTGAAGCTTTTGGTTGAAGAGAGGAATGATGCTCTTGAGTGTATTGGTGGAGAGTCAAAAGATTTAAGTAGACTACTTGGAGTTGAACAATGCTAAGGCACTCGGAGCAGGCTCCTCTTTGGGTGGACTACTTTGGGATGTTGTCCTATAAATCCTTCAGTCAAAAAGCTCAAAGAAAGTGAGTTTGACAGCTTCCTCGCATATATATATAACATTGATTTAAATGTTCACATAAAACATTGTTTGATATATATACATTTAGAGTCAGTCAATGACATTAATTAGATTCTCTCTTTAGCATTTTTTTATTACTCTAAATTTAATTTTAATATGTACAATTTCCTAAAAAATTATCTGGCAACACTACTAATTTGTTTGATAACTTTGTTTCAATATAATAAAAGTCAGAAGGGCATGTCTAGGAATAACATTAATAATAATAATGATCTATATTTTTGATTTGCGATAGAGGCTTTTGAACTAACTTAAATTTTACGAGTGAACTTATCGAGGGAATCTCATAAGAAATGTATTAGAAACTAAACCTAGATATTTCATTGACCACTGATTAGTATTACGTTCACAATTTGGAAGAAAGAAAATATTAGATTTAGTGTTGTTGATGTTAAGAGTAGTGATATGGGAGAAGAGGTCAAGAATTTTAACCACACTAATACACAACTTTTCATTGGCCCTAATAAAAGAATGTAATAATTTTTACACATAAGTTAAAATGATAAATTTTATTATAATCTTTTAAATCTTTAAACAAGTTGAAATATTTGTTGAACCATCTTGTCTAATATCTACAGGACCCAAACTAATTAAAAGTGGATTCGTTAATCAAATAACTAAAAAGGAGATTAGACAAACTCCATTAAAGTCTATACTAATGATATTAGGAAGGAGATTAGCAATCATCTAAGATAATAGTTTATAAATAATGTTATAGAATGTAGTGGCCCATATACTCTTCTAACCCACCAGAGTTTTTTTTTTTATATATATAATCAAAAGAAGGATGGCTTTCCCCAACTAGATGGTAGAAGACTATCCCTATGGAAAGTGTAGAGTGCAATCTTAGTGTCACAAAAAGCCTTATAAAATCCTTAATGGCCATAATAAAGGAGAATTATTTTGCAATCATAATAGCAAATCTTATCTGATAAGTTGAGATAAGGTTTCTAGTCCGAAGGAAGTGGGGGTCTTAAAATTAGAGACTTATATATCACCAACTCCTCTATTAATGCTAAAAGAGCTAACCCTTCCATTGTTCAAGGAGGAGAAGATAAGATACCTTGAGTTCAAATATTAATCACTAAATATGGTGATTTTAACCATGGTATAACTTTAGATTCAACAATCCTTGTAAAACTTGTAGACATATTAACAGCATGATGGATATGATAGCGTTAAACTGGGGCTTAGAAAATTTATAGAGAATGATAAAGCTGCACATGTTTGGAATGATCTTTCGATTGATTATCCCATTGGCTTATCTTATTGTTTTTAATGTGAATGAAGTGCTGAGTGTCCAATCGATTGTTGATCGGTGATGGCTGGAATATGTCTTCTGAACATATTGTTTCACCCATCCTTAGTTGCTAGAATTGTTTCACTTTCTTTAATTTACTAAAGATATTTGGGAATTGTCCATAGATGTGAAAGTAATGAATTTTATGTTCCTTTGTAGAGAAAGGAATATGTATGCACACAACTGGCCACATATGGTAGTGGCAATCAGTGCACCACATGTTGTATTCAACATTTTCTTTTTTGATATTTTAATAAAAAATTATTATTGAGCTTTTATCGAATGGTATCCTCTATATTGGTTTTCGGGTTTTTTTTTTTATTTGGATGAGAGTACCCTCCAATTTTTACTGAAATGATTTGATTATATATGTTATTCAAAAAATAATAATTTTGATAATTAATTATCATAAAATTATCAAAAATATATAAAAATACTAATTATCTTATAATCATAAAACTATTTTTTATATATTTTTTTAAAAAAATTATGATAATTTGTTATCTAAACTAAGAATCTTTTTTGATCACATAAGTGATCAATTCATTTTAATAAAATCTCCGTCCAAATAAAAATAAAATGATCTTTTTGACAACCTCTTGGACTTCTCGGTTAATTCCGACAAAACTTCCGATGAACGTCCGAACTTCCGACGAACTATCGAACTTTCGAACTCCCAATGAAATATCGATCTTGACTCTGGTATAACATTTGCTTTATGTCTTACGTAGTTAATCCTGTACACTTTTCTTTATATATAGATTAGATCTAACAATTTACCAATTGATTTCTGCCATCAAATAAAAATGAACATGGGGTAT